TTCGGTTGTGCTTATAAAATACTTATGAGATCACCAAAACACGCTTTAATGAATTCTAGACTAGGAACTGTTGATTGTGTGTTGTCACTAAATTTGTTGAAAAGTGTTGAGTTTGTATAGAAAAGTTGTGTTTGTTTATTATTATATAAAAATAGAAAATGAAAAAAAAAAAAAAATGATGATGAACGAGAAGCGAAATTGGACTGGGCCTACATATTTAGAGCAGCCCAAGTAATGAGGCTCGTCATAATTTTAAGTTATAAATTTAGCAGTCAATAATTATCCCTTAGTTTTTGTAAAATTCATAATTAGATATGTTTTAAGAATTGGCTTTTGCCTCCTTTTCCCCTGTCTACTAGGATGTTTTAGTTTGCCAGGTTATCTCTTGCTAACGGGTGTCTATTTCTAGCCAATATTGCACATCGACTTCAAGCCTGTTCATATGGTTGATACCAAACTAAGCTAAGAACTTCTATAATGCCAGTAAGAATTCGGGTTTATGCAGTTCAGCTAGGCCCTCAGTTCTAAAATTTCTATGCAAATCAAGATCGAAAAAATGAAGTTTCTCCCATTCATGCAACTAACCTCATCTCTGTTTACGACTCACCTAGCCTTAACCTCTGATCTTTCATCCCACCAAAACTAGCTGTTACCCCACTAGTAGTAGGAGACATAAGGATTGATCTAGCAAAATCACCCATTAGAGCCATTGTCAACCATTGGTCATTAACATCTCAATCCGAAACAAATCAAGAGAAGAAAAAAGAGTCAAAATTGATCGATAGAATTTTTTAGTCTACCGTCAAATCCCAAGGTTCAATCCTGAATAGGCGATGTAAACTACCAAGCTAGAGTATGGTAGGGGTAGAGGAAATTTTCAGTGGAGCGATGAAAGGCATAGAGATCTAAATGAACACCAATGGCGAAAGCACTTTGCTAGACCAACATTGACACTAAGAAAATCGGCGACTGAGTTGCGGTCGGGGGTGAAATGCTGCTCATATCCAAAGCTAACTGGTTGTCCTTGAAATTTGTTGAGGCGTAGCTGTAACAAGTAGAAGTTATAATAAAGATCATGATCTTGGACAATTTATAGACAAAAATATGTAAAGACAAAAATACAATTTCAAAATACACCACCTTAAATCAAGTCAAGTTATACAATTTCAAAATTAATAAATTTGTGAAATTTTTTTCAAAAATCAGGTGCTTACAAATGGTGACCTCTAATAAGATATTGTGATCTATGGTATAATTAACTATGTTACAGTCATTTACCGAACAATTTACGCATTACAATACACAAGGTCACAATTACATACCTCAAACTTTAGTTTATGGGTTACAATCATGTATTAAGTCACAAATCACGATTAGTAAAAATTATTTTATTCACAATTAACTGGTCATAATCACTATTTTTCAAACTCCACCCACTTACCTCATTTCACCTCTACTCTCTCCTTTTTTCACTCAATTTCTCTACTGTTGACAACCACTCTTGCTCCATCGAGATTTGTTCTGATATTGAGTTTCAAGGATGTAAGATTGGAAACTCTTCTTGTTCATTGACTAAGGACCTTCACAAAATGCAAACGCAACCACGCTCTCTAGAAGACGACGGCCAGACAAATCACAGAAGCAAATGCTCCTCCTCTGCTCTCTTCCTCACCACCTTCTTCATCATTACTCCTCCACAAGATCGGTGGAGAATGGATGGCATACCTAACAGCAGTCAAATCTATAGCCATCGGATTGCTAAATCTACACCGGTCAAACTATTCTATCTGCAGCACTATCCTGCCCTCTCTTGTCTCCTTCATTATCCCAATTGCAATGCCACTATCACTCCAACTCTGTTCAATAACACCTCTGTAGGCATATCTATAGATTGCTTCATTTTGGATTAGTAGGGTGGGTGGTGACTCAAATAAAGCACAACTGGAGGACTAACTACATAACAGTCCATTCCATAACAAAACAGTGGATTAAGCTTCTCATCATAGAATGATACACGCAAAAATCGAGAGGAATAGGTAGAGTTAGCTTTCAAAGGATGGTGGGTTATATATATAGATTCTTTTTGAAGTGGCAGGGTAGAATTACGTTGGGTGAATGTAGTGCATATACTTGATTATTGAAGGAAAAAAAAAAATTCCTACTTGATTAGTAAAATTCAAATTTAGCCCCTGTTTTATAAATTAAAATTTTAATCTCAATCTAAATTAAAGTCAATAACTAATTTTAACCATATGTTTCATGAAAATCCACAATTTTTCAACAACACATTTTATCAACTTTTATCAAAATCTACTAAAATTTTAATTTTAATTCTCATCGAGCAGGAGCTTAAAAAGTATCTTTTTGGTCATTTTTCTTTTTAGTTTTATTGTAAAGGCTTTGTAGTAAAGAATACGATCCTTCCATCACATGGTTAACATTAGAATACTGGATTCTGTCGTAATGGCACCAAGATTTCGCAACCCAGCCAGCCAATTGTACTACAGACATGCAGTATTTCTTCACAACTCATTGAAAGCAATGAAAAATATGACTAAGCTGCAAAAAATACAAGAATTATTCAGAGTTTCAACGAATGAACAATGCATTTTTCTCATTTTTACCTCAACACCTGGCCAAAATATATAAAATAAAAATTGGCAACGTAATAGTTAACACCCCAAAACTCCAATCATATACGAGAAGAAATGTTAGAGAGAGAAGCTCTGAACTCTAAAGAAAGTCTACTTGAGTGCTTTTGTTTTCTTCAAATTCTTCTTGTGTTTGGTTCGATTTTTATCTCTTCTTGGTGAAAATTGAATTAAGCATACTAGTTTTCATCGATTTGGACAATGTTATCTTACTTTTCGTTTGATTTTTTTTACTACATTGGTCAAGTTCGAATATAACACTTAGATTCTTAGTGGTTTTCTTCAAGATTCAATTTTGGGTGATGCTTGGACTGTGATTCCATATCAGTTTTGGTCAATATGTAAGACAATCTTCTGGTCAGTTTTGGCTCGTGTGTAGTTTCTTCCAGTCTCAGGTGATTCTAGGTGGTTTGCAATCCAGTTGTTGGATCTTTAGGTCACTATTTGAAGCTCTGGAATTTCTCTGCTTCTGTTTGGTGTTGGGTGGTGATTGTTGCAATTCCGTTCATGGTGGTTATATGTATTGCGTATTTATAGCTACTGACATATTCCATATTCAAATTCGAATTTGAATCTTGGTCAAACTTTGGGTGGCGAGATGACAGTTTCTCCATATTTTGCCGGGCCCTTTAGGCTCATTTTTATCCAACTGAAATGGGTAGGGAAAAAAAATCAAATATGGTCCAACAAAGTGGGCAGGCTACTTGTAACTTTCCTCCACTTAAGCGTATTAATCCTATCAAGGCTACTCCACAGCTTGGTAAGGATGGTAAGAAAGATGTTGATGATTCTTTGGAAGTTTGTCGGGAAGAACATAGTCAAGAGAGTGTAGCCTCTCCAATGTTGTCAATAACTCTTGGGGATGAGGATACAGAATCTGATGAATCTAATTTTGTACCCCAAACTGCTGAAGTGAAGAAGCAACAAATGAAATGCAATGCTGGGAATGATGGGTAAAAAAATGATAAAGAACCATGGTTGACCCTTTTCAAGGAAAATAGAAAAATTGATGATGATTTCATGTTGAAGGCCTTCAAAAATAGTTTGGAAGAAGTGGTCTTGTTTGAATCGGATGAAGATAATATAGAGAAGGCTTGGAGATATGGTCTTGTTGGGTATTTTGCCGGTAGATTTCCTGGGAAAGTGGCCTTACTCAAATTGTGTCTCGTGGAAGGTTAAATACAAATATTGTGTGCACTCGAGCGGGTGGTTGGTTTTTAACTCGAAAAGATTAAGTGTGCTGCAAGGAGGTCCCTACTTGGTATTTGGGAGACCATTAATGTTAAAGGTCATGCTCCGTTAACTTACCGGGATTGCCTTTGTTGTTTTGGAATATGAGTGCTTTGAGTAAAATTGTCTCCAAAGTTGGAAAACCCATTTCGGTCGATAAGATCACGTCTACTAGAGGTAGACTATCTTATGCGAGAGCACTTGGTGAAGTTGATGCATCTATCGACCTAGTGCAGGTAGTAAAGATAAGGATTCCAAATGGCAAATTAAGGGAGCAAGAAATCCTTTTTGAACATGAGCCGAAGTTTTGTGGTTCTTGTAAAGTGTTTGGGCACTCTACTCTTGGTTACAACTGCAATAAACAGGCCGTGATTTATAAAGGGAAAACCATAGATGGCAAGGCATTGAAAGCTCCTTTATCGACGCACAAAAGGAGAAAGTGCGGGCTGGGAAGACTCAAGCTATCACTAATGGACAGCAACAGGAGAATGGACAGGAAACATTGTTCATTGTGGTTGCAAACAGGAAACACAATAATCGACTGAAGGGATAAAATGCAAGCACACGCTACCAGCAGCCTATGGCCGGTGAAAGCAAGGGACAAACAAGCCAGCAATTAAAAAAAGGGATAGATTGTGGATGGCTGAGTTCTAGTACATAATGTGTTGGTCAGACTACCGGGACTAATTCGAATGATAGGTTAAAGGGAAAGCTTGATGATAGTAGGGCCACAACACTCAAGAAGGACGCAAAGAGGGGCAATTCCTTCGTTATTTCATCATAAAGATTGTCTCATGGAACATTAGGGGCTTGAACCTCTCCCTAAAATAAAATGGGATTCGTAATTTCATAAAAGAACATGATATTGACATTATGGGTGTTTTGGAAACCAAGCTAATGCAATCTAAGCTTGATCGGGTGATGCGAAATAAATTTAGGGATTTCTAGGAGATCAACGACTATCACACTCATTGAGCTGGCCGGATTTTGATTTTATGGAATCCCATGAAAGTTAAAATAGACGTGGTGGAGGTTATATCTCAAATTATTCATTGTTCCGCTACTTGTAAGTTTAGTTCACTTACATTTCTCATTAGCTTTGTATATGGTTTTTATACGATGGTGAATTTTAGGCCACTTTGGTGTAATATGTTGGATTTTGGATCAAATTGTTCTTTACCTTTGTTGGTTTTGGGTGATTTCAACAATGTTCTCTACTTCGATGAAAAATGCAATGGGTTAGATGTCATCCCATATGAGGTGAAGGATCTTGCCAATATGTGCATCAATGTTAGACTTACGGATGTGAGATCTATCGGTTGTTTCTACACTAGGACTAATAATTCAATGTGGAGTAAGATTGATAGGGCTATGGTGAACAAAGACTGGAAACTTGTGGGATTTAATAGTCTTGCTAATTTTCTACCATTGGGATGCATCTCCGATCACTCACCGTGCATAGTATCACTTTTTGGACTTGATGCTGGTAAGATGAGGCCTTTTAAATTTTTCAACATGTGGACTAACCATGAAAGTTTCCATGAGATAGTACAAAATTGTTGGGAACTTGATGTTATGGGAATAAGGCAATTTATTCTATGCAAAAACTTGCAACGTCTTAAGGGGGAGCTCAAGAGGCTTAATGAGAAACACTTTGGCCATATTTCCAAGAGGGTCGAAATGGCAAAGTTGGCTTTGAAGGAGGCACAATTAAAATTGCAAGATGATCCTCATAATGTTGAACTTCAAAATTCGGTGAATGTTTGAGGAAAAAAGCTATGAATCTTTGTGAAGCGGAGATGAGTTTTTACTACGAACATGCTAAACGTGAGTATCTTAAGAATAGTGATAAGTGTACTAAATTATTTCATTCAATGATTAAGAGGAATGCCAAAAGGAATTTCATTTCATCCGTGTGTAAAATGGATGGTTCATATATTACTTCATTGGATGAAGTAGCCAATGAATTTGTGGAATTCACAAATTTTGTAGCAACTCACTAGAAAAAATAGCTTGGTGGAGCCCATTGACATTTGTATCTTGAGGAGAGGTTCCATGTTATTAGAAGAGCATTCTTTTGGCACTTATTCGAGATATTTCGGAAAAAGAGATCAAAGATGCATTATTTCCTATTGGAGATGATAAATCTCCGGGTTCGGATGGGTACTTATCTTGCTTCTTCAAGAAATCTTGGAGTATTATTGGAAGAGATTTTATGGGAACAATCAAAAAGTTCTTTAACTCAAGCTCTCTTCTCAAGAAAATGAATCATGCGATCATCGCTTTGATCCCCAAGGCTAATCACTCTACATCCGTTGGTGACTATAGACCAATCTCATGTTATAATGTGTTCTACATAGTTATTGCTAAAATCCTTACATCTTGATTGGGGCCTATCCTTGGATCAATTGTGGATCAAGCTCAAGGTGCATTTGTGGAAGGTAGGAGTATGTTGGAAATTATCCATCTCGCACAAGAGCTCCTTAGAAAATACAATCGAAAGAGAGTTTTTCCTAGATGCCTCTCAAAATAGATCTTAAGAAGGCGTACGATTCGATTAATTAGGATTTCTCAGGAATGTGGTGCATGGTTTTGAATTTCCTATGAAGTTTATTGGTTGGGTGATGGAATGTATTTCTATTCCTTCATATTCTATTGCTCTCAATGGAAGACTTTATGGATTTTTTAAAGACAAAAAGGGTCTTCGTCAAGGTGATCCTCTTTATCCTTTTCATATGTCATTTGCTTTGAGTATTTCTCGAGAATGTTGAAGGGATCTATAGAGAACAGTAAGTTCAATTATCATCCCAAATGTAGCCCTTTAAAGATTACACATTTGGCATTTGCAGATGATTTGATGCTCTTTGCTAGAGGATATCCAATTTCGTCGGTATTTTGATGGATTGTTTGTCTAATTTTGGAGACATATTAGGATTAAGAATAAATGTTAGCAAGTCTAACTTGTGTACTGCAGAGGTTCATGGGCAAGAGCTTGAGGAGATATTTGAATTGACCAATATGTCCAAAGGAACTATGCCATTCCGGTATTTGGGGATTCCACTTGCCGCGAAGAAGTTGAAAATTAGCTCGTATGACTCGCTTCTCAACAAAAACACAGCTTACTTTTTTGGTTGGTCTAAGATATCATTGTCCTATATGGTAGAATGGAATTGATCAGAGCTGTTTTTCAAGGTGTGAAATGTTTTTAGCTTTCCATATTTCCTATTTCGGAAGCGGTTGCTTCAAAAATTATTAGCTTGTGCCACAACTTCCTTTGGGGTAAAAATAGACTGTTGGTTTCTTGGAGTAAGAATTGTTTGCAAAAATATGAGGGTGGACCTGGGTTTAGGGATATTAAGGCCCCATTTGATTCCCATTTTTTTTTTTTTTATAAAAATGCATCTTTCTCCCTCTTCTTTTTAATCACGCATTTTTCATTAAAATAATATTACACGTAAATAATTTTTATTTTTATTTTTCATCCATACATTCTCCATCAATCTACTATTTTAAAATTCATTTTTCCAACAAAAAGGGTGTCAAACACCCTCTAAATGTTGGAATTCAGCATTACTCTCTAAATTCATTTGGTATATTCATGGAAAGAAAGGCTTGCTATGGATCAAATGGAATGATCAAATTCACCTCCATTGGTTAGTATATGGGAGTATATGCCAAAGAAAGATCACTCTCTATTGATTAAGAAGCTATTGGACATTAGATATCAGCTTACATGGTCGAAACTTACTGAACAAATTGCTGTCAACAGGTTGTCTAACAGGACATGACACACCTCGCCCCGTGTAACACTATTGGATCCGGACGTGGCATGCGCCGATGATAGATACCAACTAAAAGTTAAACCCACCATCAAGGCTACTACAAGTACAATATATCACTTTTTATGCATCATTTTTCTAACAGAATTTCGATATTATCTCCACTGTAAACAGGACTAACCAGCCTATGATCAATTTCACACAAATTCCAAACTATAACATAACACAGTAAAGATAAGCCGAAACCTCAACTTTTACCAAGAAATAAAATGAAATGTACATATAGATACAAAATACATAGTGAGCCCCATAATTATCTACAAGTGATACAAAATCACATCTAGATATGAACATGAGTCTCAAAATACTGACTACATGATCTATGAAGTGAGTCATACTAACAAAGTCTATCGTTTGGTTCTGACTCCAAAATCAAGGCCCAACTCCAAAAGATGTCCAAATACTCAACTACTGCATGATAAGGAAAAACGTGGAAAAATATATGAATTGATAGCACAGTGAGTGGAGAAATTCAAAATAAATATACTTTTTCATTTATACATTTTTATTGAAAATTAAATTCATATCATTTGATAATTCACAAGCTATCATCATGCAATTATAGCGAAAAAGTGAAATATTCACATAATGTCATAAAATATCATCTTAAAATCATGATATGAACATAAACTGATAACCATGCTATAATCTGATCACATCAAATGTGCTGAAAAATCCACAAAAAATTTACTCTCTGACTGAAATATGTAATCCGCCCCTCGAGCTAAGAACTTTCGCCACAGGCCTTTAGCCTCCTTCGTGATCGAAAGCCGATCTCAAAGACCTCTCATAATCAATTCTAGAATACGGCCAAGGTTCCTCAATGAACTATATGTACACAGTCAAGATCCCTTCATCCCCTGTCCAAGAATCCTCAGTGTAGTATAGAATACGACTAAGACCTGTCAGTGAACTAGAAGAAATATATAATCACGAGTACTTTTCTCGTCGTTCTCAAAATCACATATCATATTCCAATTCACAATATACTGAATACAATCTTTAAAATCCCACATGTAACATAATAAAAGAATTTCCTTAATAACCATATAATTCGAACACATAATTGCATATAATTGCACATACTTTAATAATATATTTAATTTATAAATACTTTAAAAATATTTATATTTTTTCACTCACAGAAATATATACTTCGAAATCAACTTGGTTGGTAAGCTGTCCCGACGTCCTTATTGCCGTCTGAAATATAATATAATTTTTAAATTAATAATTAACTATTTTAAGTAATTTCAATAATTGAGTAGACGATACTCAAACTTAATTATTTCACATTTAAACGATTTTTAAAGTCTTTTCAATCAGTAAAACTAGTTTTTCTTTCATTTTACTCAATTTCATAGTTTATTATACTTAACATTTTCAATAAAATTGAATTTAATCTAACAATTTAACAACTATAAAATTAAGCATGACTTGACAATATGTAACTTTTTACTTACCTTTCAAAATTGAGGAATTCAAACCTAATAGTATAAACCACTTAATTCTTAACATGTTGGCGAATTTTTTTCTTTCCTTTTCTTCCTCTTTTCTTCCTTTTTTCTCCTTCTTTTTCCTTTCTCTTTTCTTTTCTTTTTTCTCTCTGGTTCGGCTTCTCTCAGTTGTAGTTATTTGTGTGTGTAAGAAATGGATTATTATAGATTTATAATGGATTTGTTTGAGTTTTCCACTGCATGCCACTTTTGTTTTATCATTTGTCCTTTTTTTTGTTTGGTTTGACTTTTCTTTTAATTAATCAAAGTAATACAAAAATTACCTCCTTAAAAGAATTTCGTCCTCGAAATTCAATTGACTAAGTACGAAAAAGTTGTGGATACTAGAAACGTGTATGCTCTCTACTCTCCCATGTCGCTTCTTCTACAGTATGATTTCCCCACAAGATTTTAATCAAAGGAATAGTCTTAGTACGCGAGACCTGTTTCTTTTTGTCCAATAACTGAACTGGTTCCTCTTCATAGGTAAGATTTTCTTTTAGCTCTACTGGTTGTGATTTCAAAACATAAGACGGATTCGAAATATACTTACGAAACATGGAATACATCATGAATTCTGGACAATTTTGTTGGCAAAGCCAATCGATACGCAACTGGACCGATGCGTTCAACAATCTCATATGGGCCAATATACCTCGGACTCAATTTACCTCGTTTACCAAATCTGATAACACCTTTCCATGGTAACAATCGCAGGAAAACTCTATCCCCAATATCAAATTCAAGGTTTCTTCTGCATCTATCAGTATAGTTCTTCTATTTATCTTGGGCTGTCTTTAACTTTTCTTTAATTATCTTTACTTTCTCAACAGTAATCTGGACATATTCAGGACCCAATTACTTTCTTTCGCTAACTTTATCCCAACATGCTGAAGTTCTGCATTTCCTACCATACAATGCTTCAAAAAAAGCCATTTCTATACTCAAATGATAACTGTTATTATAAACAAACTCTATCAAAGGAATATGAGTATCTCATTTCCCTTTAAATTGTAATACACAAGCTCGTAACACGTCTTCCAAGTCTGAATTGTTCTTTCTGACTGACCATTTGTCTGTGAATGAAAAACTGTACTAAAATGAAGTTTAGTACCCATAACTTTCTGCAAATTGGGCCAAAATTTAGAAGTGAAACGCGAATCTCTATATGAAACAATAGATACTGGTGCCCCATACAAACTGATTATCTCATCAACATATATTTTTGCCAATTTATCTAACGAGCAAGTGACTTTAATAGGCAACAATCTAGCAGTCTTCATCAATCTATCTACAACGATTCATATGCCATCATATCCACTCTGAGTCCGTGAAAGTCCAAATAGAAAATCCATAGTAATTTATTCCCATTTCCACTCAGGAATATGCAACGTTTGTAACAATCCTGCCAGTTTCTGATGATCTGGTTTCACTTGCTGGCAAATGAGACATCTAAATACAAACTTAGCTATTTCTCTTTTCATTTCATGCCACTAATAGTGTTCTTTGAGTACACAATACATTTTTATACTACCTGGATGCATCGAGTAAGCTGAACTATGTGCCTCTTCTAGAATTTCTCCCTTCAATTTCGAATCATCTGGAACACATAATTTGTTTACCATAACTAAACCTCTGTCATCTCGAATGGTATAATCTGTATACTTACCTTTACTAACTTCTTCTTTCAATTTGCTCAACACTGGATCTTGAGTTTGAGTTTTTCTAACTGTGTCAATCAAAGTAGGCCTCATTTGGAAGTTGGCAAACAATGCTCCCATATTGGTAACTGATAATTGGGCATGAGAAGCTCTAAGCTCACCAAACAAAGATGAACATACTGCATTAGTCTAGGTCATAGGACTCGACATTTTCCGACTGAGAGTATCAGCAATTACATTAACCTTCTCTGGATGATAATCAATCTTACAGTCGTAATCTTTTATTAGCTCTAATCATCTTCTTTGCCTCAAGTTTATCTCTTTCTGATAAAAAATATACTTTAAGCTTTTATGACCTGTATATGTCTAAAATCTCTCACCATACAAGTAATGTCTCAAAATTTTCAAGGCTAGGATAACTGTAGGTAGCTCTAAGTCATGTGTAGGATAACTCAATTCATGTTTCTTCAACTGTCTGGAAGCATACACTATAACTTTTCCATTCTTCAGCAAAACACAACCAAAACCTTGACGCGAAGCATCACTATATATCACAAACTCTTTATCGGGAAATGGAAGGGTAAGAAGCGGAGCTAACACTAATCAATTTTTCAATTTGAGGAAACTTCTTTCGCAATCTTCATTCCAAACAAATTTAGCATTCTTTCTAGTCAAACCAATCAAAGGCAGAGCAATTTTAGAAAATCCCTCTACAAAACGACGGTAATAACCTGCTAAGCCAAGAAAACTTCGAATTTCTGTCACATTAGTAGGCCTTTCCCATTTTACCATTGCCTCAGTTTTTTGTGGGTCAACATAAATTCCTTCTGCTGATATGACATGTCCCAAAAATACAACTCTATCAAGCCAGAATTCACATTTACTGAATTTATCATACAATTGCTCATCACGTAGAGTCTGCAAGATGATTCTGAGATGCTCTGTGTACTCATTGTGATTATGAGAGTATACTAAAATATCATCAATGAATACAATCACAAATCTATCTAAATATAGGCGAAACACTCTATTCATCATATCCATAAATGCTGTTGGTGCATTGGTCAACCTAAATGGTATCACAATAAATTCAAAATGACCACATCTTGTCCTGAAAGCATTTTTGGCACATCATTGTCCTTGATTTTAAGTTGATGATATCCAGAAAGCAAATCAATCTTTGAAAATACTGCAGCACCGCGAAGTTGATCAAACAAATCATCAATACGTGGCAAAGGATATTTATTGCGAATTCTCACTTTGTTTAATTGTCTGTAATCTATGCACAGTCGCATGATGCCATCTTTCCTCTTCACAAACAAAACTGGTGCTCTCCACGAAGATACACTAGATTTGATGAAACCCTTATCTACCCACTCTTGCAACTGAACATTTAGCTCTTTCAATTTTGCTAGTGTCATTCTATATGGTGCCCGTGAAATAGGTGCAGTTTATGAAATCAGATCTATAGTGAATTCCACATCCCTGTTTGATGGTAAGTTCGATAATTCTTCTGAAAATACATCAGGAAAGTCCTTGACCATTGAAATGTCTTCAAGTTTTAGTTTGCTAACATCTATATTAATCGCATGAGCTAAATATGCATGACAGTCTTTGTTGAGTAATTTTCTAGCGTCAATAGTAGATATCACACAAGACGGTAAAATTCTGCCCTGTCCATTGAATATAATTTCAAGCTGTCCTAGCTGTCTAAACACAACCTCCTTTCAAAAACAATCAATCGAAGCTCGATTTGTTGCCAGAAAGTCCATACCCAAGATAACATCGAAATCATATATGTCAAGAGGTATTAAATTTGCCTTCAGCTCGTTTTCCTTTACCTTAATCCCACAATCTCGATATATATTGTTTTCTAATAGTAATTCTCCTACTGATGTATTCACTACCAAACAATTACCTAAAAGTTCTGACTTTTGATTTGCATATAAAGCAAATATAAATGACATAAAAAAATGTGTAGATCCAGGATCAATCAAAATGTGAGCATTTCTATAAAAAATAGATAACATACCCATGATAACATCTGGTGACTCCCCTGCCGCCTGCTGAGTTATAGCAAAAACTTTGTCCTGGGTCTTCAGTCGTCCTACCTGCCCTTTTGATTTTGTACCACGATATTAGACTGGGCTACACTATTTGCACCTGCTCTATTAATTGAATCATCTCTCCGAGTCTGATTCTGTCTTGTAACCAGCACTCTACTGAGGAAACATCTTCTGTACCCTGCCACTTTCCTGTGATAGAACTGGACAATTTCTTCTAATATGTCCGCCTTGACGACAATGATAACAAACTCCGCTCCCTTTGAACTTTAGACACGTGCTGAGATGAGGTCTTCCACATAACTGACAATAGGGAAGTCTAGTGCTAGTAGAACTCTCGTCCTGGCTCGAAGTAAATAATCTCTGGGAAGAACTCTGAGTATGAGTACGACTAGATGGCTGCTGCACAATACTATGGCTGAATCTAGGGTCCTGAATTCCCCGTGATCGAGATTTGAATTGACCCGAACTGGACACACCGGGTCGAAATCCTCTATTGTCCCTCTGAGAAAATCTATAGTTAGAAGTACTTGCCATTGTCTGACTACCGCTTGCCCTGAACATTGTTTGTTCTCTACCACTTGGCTTATCAGAAATGTTCTTTTCTACTCTCAAAGTCGATTCCACTAATTTACCAAATTCATTCCAGCTTGCAGCTGTTACTATTGATCAAATTTCTTTCTTTAACCCATTTTCAAATCGTCCGTATTTATCAATTTTGTTGTTTACCAGAACTTGGGCATACTTTGAAAGTTCAATAAATTTCACCTAATATTCTGCAACTGTCATCTGTCTTTGTACTAGCTTCAAAAATTCCTCTTGTTTTGCATCTTTATAAGACTAAGGGTAATATGCGTCATAAAAGATACGTCTGAATTCTGTCCAATTGATGATGGAAGGGTATAGATATGTACTCCGTACGGACTGTCACTAATCATATGCACCCTTCTCTAATAAGAAAGTGGCAAGACACAACTTTCGATCATCTGAGCAACCCATAACATCAAATACCCTCTCTATCTTGGTCATCCATGCTTGAGCAACTGCAAGATCGGCTGTGCCAGTGAAAACTTTAGCCCATATTTTTGTAGCCCTCTCAATACTAAAATCTCTGTCAGTATTACGCGTAGCAGATGCAACAACAATAGAAATTCTTTCAACAGCCATAGGAACAGTTACAATCACATTTCCCTGTCCCCGTTGTTCAGGAGGCTGGTGAACTGATTCTTCTACCCTCTCGAATTCTCTAGGTTAATTTCTACCAGGAGCAATGTGAGATTGAGGCAACATATCTTGGAGCCTTCGAGTTTTGCCACCACGAGGCATGACTCACCTACAGTTATACATGATATGCTAAACGGAATATATGTATGTACAATGTAAACCTACATACTCTAATGCATGCTTTAATACCAAATTGACACACCCCGCTCGTGTAACACTACTGGATCCAGACGTGGCATGAGCCGATGATAGATACCAACTAAAAGTCGGATCCACCATCAAGGCTACTACAAATATAATATATCACTTTTTATACATCATTTTTCTAACAGAATTTCGACATTATCTCCCCTGTAAACAGGACTAACCAACCTGTGAACAATTTCACACAAATCTCAAACTATAACATAACACAATAAAGATAAGTCGAAATCTCAACTTTTACCAAGAAATAAAATGAAATATACATATGGATACAAAATACATAATGAGCCTCATAATTATCTACAAGTGATGCAAAATCACATCTAAACATGAACATGAATCTCAAAACACTGACTACATGATCTATGAAGTGAGTCATACTAACAAAGTCTGTCATTTGGCTCTCACTTTAAAATCAAGGCTCAACTCCAAAAGATACCTAGATACTTCACTGCTGCATGATAAAGAAAAACGTGGAAAAATATATGAGTTGATAGTTCAGTGAGTGGAGAAGTTCAAAATAAATATACTTTTTCATTTATACATTTTTATTGAAAATTAAATTCATATCATTTGATAATTCACAGGCTACCATCATGTAATTATAGCCAAAAAGTGAAATATTTACGTAAGGTCATAAAATATTATCTTAAAATCATGATATGAACATAAACTGATAATCATGATATAATCTCATCACATCAAACATGCTGAAAAATTCACCAAAAATGTACTCTCTGACTGAAATATGTAATCTGCCCCTTGGGCCAAGAACTTTCGCCATGGGCCTTTGGCCTCCTCCGTCATCGAAAGCCAGCCTCAAAGACCTCTCATAATCAATTCTAGAACACGACCAAAGCCCATCAGTGAACTATATATACACGATCGAGACCCCTTCATCCCCGGTCCAAGAACTCTCAGTGTAGTATAGAACACGACCAAGGCTCCTCAGTGAACTAGAAGAGATATATAATCACGGGTACTTTTCTGGTCATTCTCCAAATCACATCTCATATTCCAATTCACAATGTATTGAATACAATTTTTGAAATCCCACATGTAACATAATAAAAGATATTTTCTTAATAACCATATAATTGGAATATATAATTGCACATACTTTAAGAATATATTTAATTTATAAATACTTTAAAAATATTTATATTTTTCTACCCACAGAACTATATACGTCGAAATCAACTCGGTTGGTAAGCTGTCTCGACATCCTTATCGCCGCCTAAAAAATAACATAATTTTTAAATCAACAATTAACTATTTTAAGTAATTTTAATAATATAATAGGCAATACTCAAACTTCATTATTTCATGTTTAAGCAATTTCTAAAGTCTCTTCAATCAGTAAAACTAGTTTTTCTTTCATTTTACTCAATTTCATAGTTTATTATACTTAACCTCTTCAATAAAATTGAATTTGATCTAACAATTTAACAACTATAAAATTAAACATAATTTGACAATAAGTAACTTTTTACTTACCTTTTAAAATTGAGAAATTCAAGCCTAATAGTATAAACCACTTAATTCCTAACATATTCGCTATTTTTTTTTTCTTTTCCTTCTCTTCCTCTTTTCTTCCTTTTTTTTTGCCCTTTCTCTTTTCTCTTCCTTTTTTCTCTCTGGTTCGGCTTCTCTCAATTGTAGTTATTTGTGTGTGTAAGAAATGGATTATTATAGATTTATAATGGATTTGTTTGAGTTTTCCACTGTCTGCCACTTTTGTTTTATCTTTTGTCCCTTTTTTTTTCTTTTGGTTTGACTTTTCTTTTAATTTGTCAAAGTATTACATGATAGCTTATGGCTGGTTTTCAATAGGTTGTGCATACCAATTTTTTAGGCCAAAAGGGGAGAAAAAGTGCTGGACTGGAGAAATTTGGAGACCCTACATCACTCCAATACAATTTTTTTTTTTTTTTTTTTTTTTTTTTTTTTTTTTTTTTTTTTTTTTTTTTTTTTTTTTTTACGGTGGTTGGCTGTACAATCAAAGCTTCTTACGAAGGATAAGTTGATGTATCTAAACATTGATAGATTGTGTATCTTTTGTGATTCAAACCTCGAAGATGGAAATCACTTATTTTTCCAGTGTCTTCACTTTAAACATATGGGGACATATTGAAGATTGATTGGGAATGAGAAGGTCAATGACGACAATACTTAATGCATTGAAGTGGATGAAGAAAGAAGCTCGAGGTACATCTTGGCTAGCTAAGGCCAAGAGAATTGCACTTGCTTGCACGGTCTATCATAGTTGGATGACGCGGAATAGAATGATTTTTGAGAATCTCAAACCATGTGTTCATAGCATTGTGAGACATATTAAAACACAAGTATACAAAGTTTTATTCTCTTTGTATACTAATATTTTGGTTCATTTTGAGTCTCTAGTAGTGGGTTTATAGATCTTTTTTGGTTGTATGTATTTTTAAATGACGATGTATGTGCTTTGTGTTTACGATATTTGACAATCTTGACCAAACTAAGCAAAATATCTTCATAATAATAAAATACATTATTTAATCAATTACGCAATCATAATCTTGTGATTTTATTTTAAATTACCTTAAACCAAGGTCAAAATTGGTCTCCTGTTGATTATTAAATGTGTAACAAGAACAAACTAATAAATTAATTTCGCAATTTTGTTTTTAATTACCTTAAACTTCAGTCAAAATTGGTCTCGTGTTGATCATCATAGATATGCAAGAAGATACTAATAAATTTATACGATTTTAAATCTCAATTATTGAATACTGTTTGGTCCATGACATGGCTAAAATGACTTGAATGTTACATCAACTCAGCCATTCAAATCTTCTTCAATCAATCAAAATGATAATAAATGGAAGAAGAGTACAAAGGGATTGATCCAAATACAGGGGACATGGCTGCTTTTAGGGGTGGACTCAGGTCGAGTTAGGTCCGATTCAGACCTCATCCAATCACCAAATTTACTTTTTAGACTAGGCGATATTCTAACTTGAAATTGACTTGATATTAGTTAAAAATCGACTCGAATCAAGTTAATCGATTTCAAAGGTGAACCAGTAATGATCTTTACTAACGAAATTATGATGTATTCTAAAATATTGAATAATGAATCGAAAGTTTAGTTGCCATCTAAATTGATGGACGATTTTTAAATGTATAGAGACCATTATATTACTTTATATGAAGCATTTATGGTATTCCTCGTTGAGTCATATTTGTACAAATAAGAATGTTTTTTTTAAGTGTTTTGACTTTCTGGATACAATGACTTCCATTGTATTGTATTTTGGACCAGGAATTTCTAGAATATATCTATAAGTTCGGAGAAAAATGAACCGCATGGTTTTTTCTAAAGACCAAAATATACTAGTCTTTAATATTCTTCTTCATAAATACAAGTATCTTTTATTTTACTATGCTTAGAAAATGATTTCTCTCTTAATTAATTGTTTAATTTGTATGATTATAATCAAATTTCCTGGTTGTTTTTTTTCGAGGAAATCTATGTTGTTTCAAAATCATGTCCCTCTCGTCAGAAGAACATGCTACATTATTCATTCCTTGTTCCTTATTCTCACATCATCAACTCTAATAAGAAAATATACTTTAATTTGATCTCGAATGGGTAACTACAGTTTGATTTGATTTCAAGTAAAACAAACTTTGTCAAGTTCCACCTATAGAAATTGATGGCGTGATTGTCAATATCTAGAGTGTGTTTGGCCCCATTTTTGCCAATTTTTTTCGAGCAGTACTTCATTCACATAATGAAAGTTCCACCTATAGAAATTGATGGCGTGATTGTCAATATCTAGAGTGTGTTTGACCCCATTTTTGCCAATTTTTTTCGAGCAGTGCTTCATTCACAGAATGAAGATTTTATTTACAAGACACAAATGTGTGGAGCCTACAATTTATTGTCAATTTTTTTATACACATGTGGGATCCAATCTCCTCTCTCTTCTAGCTCTATTCTGTGATCAATTAATATGTACAATCAGACTAATGGATTTTTTTCACTCATTTTCATAAATTGTGGTCCCCACGTCTGGAGCTGTTGCATCAATTTCCACTTATGGCTACTTTATTTGACTTTTCCTTGGAGTGGTCCACGTAAAATTCACCCAATGTTCTAAAATTGCCATTCACATGTTATCAATGGACTTGGCTTGGTGAGGGTAATCTAGACCAATCAATTTCCCACGGTCCAATGGGCAACTTGAAGTCTGACACTGCAGTTAAACTTTTGCATTGTTTACTGTAGATTAATGAGATTTTGAAAAAAATAAAAAAAATAAAACACTAACAAGAATGTTGGGGGCGGGCGGGGCGGGGGGGGGTCAAACACACGCCTAATGACCATTACATGTAAAAATTAGTTGCTAGCATGCGCCCCCAGGGCACATCTCCAAGTGGTAAAAGGGGAGGGTAGAGAAATCCAGCTTTGCTTGAGACTGCTGCGTCAAGGGTTCGAATCCTGAAATATGGATTATGCTCTTGGGTAAGTGCAAGTGTACAAGCAGCCTTTCACCCTGTACCCTTGGAGGCATAACCTGCGATTTACCTCCTTCACGATGCTCCAGGGCAGGGATGGTGGGGGACCCCTAAGGTTAGGATTTAACCTTTTTTTTAGTTGCCAGCATGGAATAAGTACGACTTTAATGAAATAAATGACAATCATCATTTTATAACTATCACATCATCAATTTCCATAAGTCCAAATAGTGGAATTGAATGAAGTTATTTGATCAAAATTAAATTAAACTGTGATTACTCCATTGAATAAAATTGAAGTAACAATTACATAATTGAAATTAAATGAAAGTGTAGTTATCATAAATCGGATTTACTTCTATTCTTTCCTATTTTCATTTTTTCTCATCACGTAAATTCTGAAAATTTAAACGCGTTGTCTCATGTATTATTGCCAACTTTAAGCTATTCCACGAACAACAATGAAATCCGAAAATGGTTCTAATCGCCGTATTCTTTCGCCGTTTTGGAGATTTCTGCGCAGCTGGCGGAGGCGGCGGTTGGCAAAGTTTACTGTTAATTCGTTTTTGCTGGAAAGAAGTCATAANAACCAGAAAAGAGGATTTATAAGCCTTTCAATGCCACTGTCAGGAATAGAGGTCATGATATTTCGGTAAGGATACATTTCTCCATCTCCATTTAATTGAATTGTAGAAGAGCTTCCCCTACCTTAAACTTGCTTTTCATAAATCACTTGAATCAGACTAAACACTGTTCAAAAATAGTTTTTTAATCTCAAAAATAACTTTTCACTTTTAAAAAGCTTTGCACGTTCCATTATTCATAATGAGTAATCCTATTTAGAACTTAGTGTAGGTGCACTAGCTGTCATTAAATAAAATATGCAATTAAATGAACCACATAATTTCTTCTTTAGTTAAATCTATCACATAGTGTCGGGAATCCATTATTCTTATTTATTCTCTCTCTACACCAGCACAAAACAAGATTGACTAGTTGGCTTCGTGAGTGTGCTATACCAATTATTATGTTCTTTATATTTTCCAGTATTTTATAATTCAATTCCATCTTTAGTCATTATGGTTAATTGATAGCTGGCTTAAGACATAATTTAAACAAATTAGATAGTGTTTGATTGCTCCACTTTTTCCAGTCTATTTTCCAACTTTTGATTGTTTGATTGTCCAAATTTTTTCATGGAATTGAAATTCTTACTTTCTTGCCACGTCAGCGTTTTTCATGAAATCATGGAATTGGAATTCTCAACAAAATTGTCCGAATTGGAATTCTCAGTTACTGTAGCGATTTTTTAATTTTTAATTTTTTTTTTGATAATGAAAATGAATTCTAAGAATTATTGTAAAAAAATATTTCCCTTTTACAGACAATTTTCATGTAAAACAAAACCAAACGAACACCAAAAGACAGATGATTTTCTTGATATTTTTTTTGTTGGCAATGGAAACAAATTTTATACCCAATACCAGTAAATCTTATTTATTAATTGACATTTTTTATGTAAAATAAAGCCAAACGAACATAAAAATACTTTTATTTCAACATTTTTCATGTGAAAAATTATACCAATCAAACACAATAATTTACAATTCACAGGAAAAAAATTTATAGACAATTCAATTCTTTGAAATTCGTTTTCAATTTAATTCAATTACATCTTTGAAATCAAACGGACCCTTAGTCTAATCTGTCTCCTTTTTAATAAGACTTGATTCAAAATCACAATCAATCATCACAAAATAAAGAACATGCTGTCACAATGATTCATCATCACATTTTCTATACAAATTTAGCAAAAAAAAAATCTTTAATATTTCCCGTGTCAAGTCTTTAACAAAAATTTAATTCATTCTTTATGTGAACAAACGTGTTGAAGACATAGTAGTTCAAGAATTAACTATAGAAATTCCTCGACATGCAGCTTCGTTGGAACGGTGATGCAGGATCAATATTGATCAATGGGACGGAGTACCCTCTTCGACAAGCTCATTGGCACTCTCCTTCTGAACACACTATTAATGGTAGAAGGTATTATTAGCATTTGGCACTTCACTCTGTGTGATTGTATGTATGTTTTCCCAGTGTGCAGCCGAGAATCGACGCTCAAAATACTACAAATTTCTTTAACAGGTACGCCATGGAACTGCACTTGGTACACCAAACCTCGGACCTAAATGTGAAGAACCGGATAGCCGTTACTGGTGTCTTCTACAAGATTGGCAAACCTGATAAATTTCTCTCCAAGGTAAAAATTTGATAAGATTCATGATAATAATTCCTTTGTATTTATTTTTTACAAACTACTCGTGACTACTAGAAATAACAATAAACTAAATCTTACTCTCAAGAAAATGTCGCCTGCATAAGTTCTTTTTGCACCCGGTCCAATTATTGCCATATTTCTCTCATTGCAGTTAATGACAAATATATCATCAATAGTTGATCAAAAGGATGAAGACAGAAATGTGGGAATAATTAATCCAAAAGATATTGAAATGAAGAGCCAAAGGTATTACAAATACATGGGATCACTCACAGTTCCTCCTTGTACTGAAGGTGTTATCTGGACCATAAACACTAAGGTATATCCTTAAATATTTTAATTTTTTTTAACAAATTAATGCCTGTGATTAATAAATTAATTATTCCTAATTTTGAACTAATTTTAGGTGAAGACTGTTTCAAGAGATCAACTTAAGTTGCTTAGAGAAGCCGTCCACGATGTAAGTTGTTCAATAATGTCGCAATAATCAGATATTATTCGCTAAAAATGTCATTAATATAATTATTTTTATTGATTAATTTCGTTGTTTACAGTATGCAGAAGAAAATGCAAGGCCGTTGCAACCAAAACACAGTCGAAATATTTACCTTTACGGCCCGGGAGATACAAGTGATTGATCATTGATCACCACCATTTATTCAATTTTGTCCTTCGGCACCTGCCAACACTATTGTATTGAATCTTTTTTTTTTTTCTCATTATTTTTATGTATGTTAGAGCCAATTATTTTAATAAAAATATATGATTGAGACATTTCTTTCCTTTCATTTTTAAGTTTCTAACATGACATCTTAAAAATGATCAGATTGAGCAAATTGTAGCGACAATTTTTTGAACACTACACCAAAAATGATCATTTGCAACACATAAAAGGCAACATTCGGTAGTTAAATATTGCTAAAGAGGTCTATTGCAACATTTTAATAAGTAAATGTTACAATTAGTTATTGTAATTGAGTTTTGACAATATTTTTTAAATAAATATTGCCAATGTTAATTTTCGCAACTTTTTTTGAACGTTGCGAAAAGTTTAATTTTTTGCAATGTTCGAAAAACATTGCAGAATGCCATATTTTGCAACGTTTTTCAAACGTTGCGAAAAGTTTAGATTTCGCAACGTTTATTTGTTTAATCAACATTGCAAAAGGCTTTGTCTTTCGCAACGTTTAAAATGTTGCAAAAGGGAAATACATTTTGTAGATGGATTCAATTTTTCCCCCTTTTCTTTTTCTTGACAAGGCCCATATCCAATTCGACCCTAACAAATAATAAATTCCTCTAAAATCCTAATATCCATTTTCCATTTACATCTTCCCACTTCCCAACCATTCTCTCCCCTCTTCATTTCTCCCACGCAATTACTTCTTCTCTATTTTTTTTTTTTTTTGTATATTAGTAGTAAGCACGTGCGTTGTACGTTTTATGTATCGATGAATGATATAGTACTATTTTTGAATGACTAATACCATTTTTAAAAATTTTATATATATAACGATATGATTCAATAATACTTCTTTGTACACAATTTTTTTTTTTTTGGTGATCGAATGTCCCAATTAATATATTAATGAAACATTTAGTACATTTGTTACCTCATTAATACATTAATTCAACCTTTCAATTTTGTAACCTCAATTAAATAATAACCTAATGGATGGATTATAATGTAAATCATGAAAATTAATAAGGGCTTTGTTGATATAAATAAAAATTGCTTTGTTAATGAAAATAAAAACTCAATGGATGAATATATAATGTAAATCATGAAGATTAATAAGGGTTTTGTTGATGAAAAATAAAAAATTGCTTTGTTGATGGAAAGTAAAAATTGTAAGAGCAAAATACTCAATTGAATGATAAGCCACTAAATTTTCTTTGATTTATTTATTTTTTATTTATTAGTAATTGAATGTCAGTTTCATTCCTTATATTAATTCCAACCCAAATGATAAATATCAATTAAATTTTTCATCACTTATATTAATTCTAAATCAAATGATAAATATTAATTAAATTGGTAATAAGGGTTTTGTTGATGAAAATTAAAAATTGTAAAGAAAAAAATCAATTGAATGTTGGTTATTGAATTTTCGTATGTAATTTCTTTTTTATTCATTGAATGTCCTCATTAATATGCCCCAGTTTGAGTCTCATTCTTTTGAAAAAAATATATTTTTAAATAGTATTTTTAACATTATTTTAACAGTACATTCTTCAATAAAATAATATTACACGCAAATTTAAAACTTTTCTTTATTTTTTAACCACACATTTTCCATTAATATACTATTCAAAAATGCATTCTAATAAAAAGAATAGGGCTCAAACAAGGACATATTAATGCAACCTTTAAAATATTTGTAACCTCAATTAAATAATAACTTAATGGATGAATTATAATGTAAAGCATGAAGATTAAAAATTGCTTTGTTGATGAAAAACAAAAACTCATTGCATGAATTATAATGTAAATTATGAAGATTAATAAAGGTTTTGTTAATGAAAAATAAAAATTGATTTGTTGGTGGAAAATAAAAATTGTAAAAGCAAAATGGTCAATTGAATGGAAAGTTACTGATTTTTTTTTATCTATTAAATATTTCATTCGTTATATTATATTAATTCTAAACCAAATGATAAATACTAATTAAATTGGTATTCCAATTATGAGGGTATAATGGGCATATAGTTAAATATGTAGGGGGTAAATTTGGTGTTTAAAAGTTTCTCCGCCATCCCCACTTTTAATATATTGTAGATTGTAGATATACTGCTTAATTTAGCCAGATATTTCATCCCAAAAATTTTAATTTTTTGTTTTTATTTTCTTTTGTAAAGGTTTGAAGTTTTCATCGTCAAGAAAGAGAATGACCGAGAGAATGATTGAAAAAAGATTTTGTGGTAAGTAAATGTTAATTTGCTAACATAAAAAGGTTTCATGCCCTCCTATTCATTGTCGCACGCTGCGATCTCCTGCAAAGCTATTTTAAAGCCCTTCATGTAATCGAGTCCATGTTCCCCAATTTGCCTGACATTACATCTTTGCAATTAGTAGTTGATTTTGATTAACTTGAGTATTTTGTTTGGAATTTTATGTTTCCCCTTATGAATTTTAGCAATTAGGTTTGGTGTGGATGCTTTTTTCGCATTTGATTCTGATTAACTTCAGTATTTTGTCTGAAATTTTCTCTTTCCTTTTATGTACTGTAGCTATTGGATTTTGCGTGGTATTCATATTTGATTCTAATTAATTATACTACAATTTCTATTTGCATCATGAATTCTCGCAATTGGATTTTGTGGTCACATTTTTGTGATTAGTATTTGGTTCTGATAATATGATTGATTAGAATGTTTCATCTGCAATTCTTCCCTTAAGGAATTCTCAGAATTGTGTTTTGTATGTATATATCTCTGCTATTCGTAGTAGATTCCAAAGAATTGGAATAATTTATCTGCTATTAAAATAAATGAATTGTGTTGTTAACTCCCTGAACTTCACAAAATTATTCAAATCCACAATGTACAAAATAAAGTTGACCTGTTTGAGAAGTGTTTGTAAACCGTTTAAATTATATTAGATAGGAACCAATGATAGATAAGTGGGTAGTATTTTTGGTTTCGTAAAATGTGTGGATAAAAGCGGTTCAACCAATAATAAATGGTTTATAAGCATTCGCCAAACGTGGTCTAAGTTTATGTTATACTAACAAATTAAAGGAATGAATATGAAGATGTGTTATTCTTAAGCCGAGAATTAATAATGATCCCTAGCTCTTGGCTCTTCTCATATATTCATTTGTATCCATAATCTAAGCTCCACAAAGGGAAGAAGGGTAATTTGCAACATAGTAAATGATTACATTTGAATCTTGACATTGGTTTGTTATAGTTACGATTGACCTTTTGGAGAGGTCATGTCAAAATATAAAATATTTCATAATAGCTAGCACTGAAAAGGACATTTTGAGCGAGTACTATAATTAAAATGATTTTAAAGATGTCATTCATTCCTTTATAATGCACTGAGGCATGGTAGAAATGTAAGTTTTACTTTGTATTTTTTTTTCTCTTACTGCAATTTATTAATTCTTTCCAGTTACCAACTTAAAGGACGTGGTTGTGACACACTTAAATTAGAGTAGTACACAAAATTCAATTCATAATTTCTTTCTTGAATAGGTTTATTTTTTTTTATTTTTTTTTTTTGTGATGTTAATTTGTGATCGAATTATATATGCAGTAAGATATAAAACTTTCAGAACTTGTTGATGGATCATACTTGTAACATATGGAAGATTGAAGTTCACAAATTTTCTAAGATCACGTTTAAAATCGATAGCTTTCACAAAACTATGTATCATTTTTTGAATTGGAAGTAGTTTGTTGTCCCATATTAGTTTAACTACGCGTAGGACAGGACAACTATGTTTTAAAGATTCAAATCCTCGTGTAAATATTTGTAATTCTTCAATGCTAATAATGAATTGGTTGTAACCAATTGAATAAGTTCTTTACAATACTAATTGGTTTGGATTTTTTTTTATCTCGCCTTTCAGTCATCAAACCCTCTCTGTACTTTGTTAGTGGACAATTTGTCATGTTTAAGTGAATTTACTTCAATCCCTTGACCAGATCTATATGATTTGATTCCCACTTTTATTCTTATACCTTTTCAATGTAAAGTTTGTCACAATACACACAAGAGGTAATTTTCATTCATACATTCAATAGGTGGGTTACAGAGTTTATATAGGAAAAAAAACTCCTAATTTTAGATAATCACAAATCTGTAGCTAATTAATTGATTCTACATATAATTGCCTAATTCTATTCCCTTAAAATGATACAATTATATATGATTTATGTTTCCAGAAAAAGATTTCTAACAACTCACGCCAACACTCCCCCTCAAGTTGATGCATACAGGTCTCTGATGCCCAACTTGTCAAGTGAGTTGTGAAAGTCCTTGCTTGAAACTGCCTTTGTGAGTATGCCTGCTAGTTGATCCTCGGACTTTACAAAAGGGAAACGAATTGTCTTTGCTACCAAGTTTTCCTTGATGAGGTCTCGATCTATTTCCACATGTTTTGTTCTATTATGTTGAACCGGGTCATGAGATATGGCAATGGCAGCTTTGTTGTCACAGTATAGATCCATCTCAGTAATAGGAGCAAAGCCAAGTTCAATAAGCAGTTTTTTGATCCAGAGGAGTTCACAAAGTCCTTT